ACCTACTAAAGTCGACGATTCTAGCGGTCGACCTGGTGATGTCGCTCTGTGCTCATTGTCAAATATGGGAACACAGCCTCCTTCAACCGTGTTACTGGGTACAGCCCGTATTGTAGTTAGGGATTCGCGTGGAAACGAACAAAGCGTACGTACATTGCTGGACAGCGGATCCCAAAATAGCTTTATAACGCGACAATGTTGTCAGCGCTTAGGATTGGTAATAAATAAATACCTTCATGTCCCGTAGTCAAAGGCATCGGAGGTACTAATAAAGTTACCCAGGGATATATAAATTTGAAATTTTATTCTCGGATAGATCGTAATGTTAACTTTGATATAAATGCGTTAGTAGTAGATAAAGTCACTGAACGTCTGCCAACCGTTTCGGTTGACACCTCGGCAATGATTGATTTTGAAAATCTGACGCTGGCAGACGATACTTACGCCGTTCCCGGAAACATAGACATGCTCATTGGAGCATCGCTTTTACCTCATCTTTTATTACACAATAAGGTCAGGGGCAACTCCTCGCATACTGCGCCTTACGCATTGGAAACCATCTTGGGCTATGTCATCGTTGGTTCCGCCCCCATCATGGATAGTATTTCGGCAACCTCTTATTGTTGTATGGCTGTCGAACCGCTCGAGTTGTTAGTCCGCAAATTTTGGGAGATGGAGGAGGTGAACGTTCCACCTATAGTTATCCCAGATGATAGATTATGCGAGGAAATTTACGTCCGCACGACCGTTCGTGATCGCGACGGTCGATATAGTGTAGCGCTACCCTTTAAAGGAGATGTTTTATCTCTCGGCGATTCGCGTCAAATGGCGGAAAAACGTTTCTACAGCTTGGAGCGTAGGATGCTCGCTTCACCCCAGTTAAAAGAAGCTTACGACGGCGTCATTAACGAATATATAATGGAAGGATACTTATCACTTGTGGCTTCGAAATTAGATAACTACGAAGACACACCGTCTATTTCATACCACATCACGGGGTCATTAGGGAGGACAAACTTACATCTAAGTTACGTGTATTGCTCGACGCTAGTGCTAAAACTAGCACTCGCTTGTCTCTTAACGATATCCTCTATAGTGGGCAAAATTTACAGGGCAGTTTATTTAATACAATAGCCAATTTTCGTTTGTTTAGTATAGCACTGTCCGCCGATATTCGCCAAATGTTTCTTTGCATAGGGGTTCGTGAATGCGACCGTCGATTCCAACGCATTTTATATCGTTTCAACCCAAAAGAACCTCTAATGGTGTTTGAATTTAACCGCGTTTGCTTCGGTTTAAAGTCGAGCCCATTTCATGCGTTACGCACGGTGAGACAGCTCGCCCACGATGAAGGTCCCTCTTATCCTAAAGGTAAGAGGGCAATTGAAAGTGGATTATATATGGATGATTTTGTGTACTCGGTCGATAGCGTGGAGGATGCCACCCTAACCACCGCCGAGGTTATAAAGCTCATGAAAGCGGGTCAATTCGATCTTGTCAAGTGGACTAGTAATTCGCGTCCGGTTTTAGACACAATCCCACACTATCACACCGTCTTTCGGCGATAAAGGAATTCGACGATTCTGATACGCACAAGGTGCTCGGTCTGTGTTGGTCACTATAGTCCGACGTGTTTAGCCTTAAGGTAAACCCGCCCGCAGAAACGTGCACAAAGCGCACAATACTGTCATGCGTTGCTAGATTATGGGATGTAAGGTACTTCGTAGCTACCGGTGGTACGCACTAATACGCTAAGCTTTTGATTAAACAACTTTGGTTATGTGAATGCGATTGGGATGACCCGCCGCCTGACAGCATTGTTCGATTGTGGCAGCGTTTTAGAGAGGAACTTCCTCTACTAAGAGAAATAAAAATACCACGTCGTATAAACGTGGATAAAAATAGCGTCATCACGGTCGTTGTGTTTGCAGACGCCAGCGAGAAGGCTTACGGGGGCGTTGTATATTTCCACGTCCAGAATAATGGTAGAAATTCGATTAGCCTCATTAGCTCTAAGTCAAGAGTCTCCCCCCGTAAGGTTGTCTCTCTGGCGCGCTTAGAGCTTTGCGCAATATAAGCTTATTACCGCAGTTATCAGCGCATGTAATGACAGAGTTCACATAGAAAGGATATTTGCCTTTTCCGACTCAACCGTCGCTTTATGTTGGGTTTGTCGCGAACCGAGTGGTCAAGATCCAAGACGAGTTAGGAACGCAGAACTTTTATCACGTGTCCGGAACGGAAAACCCTGCCGATTGTCTATCCCGTGGACTCACCCCGATGCAAATAATGGACAATCCGCTTTGGTTCCACGGACCTTCTTGGGTTCACTTGGAACCCTCGCAATGGCCAATAACCGATTTCGACCCTTCGTCAGTGTCACAACCGCCGGAAGAGAAGAGGCACGCTCTGGTGGCGAGCGTTTCGAGCGAGGTTTCTCCAATCATTGCTTTGGCGAACCGCTTGTCCTCTTGGTCGAAATTATTGCGTAGCGTAATTTACGTTTGTCGATTCGCGAAGCTTTTACCGCGACGTTCGTATATCTTAGCATCCGATTACAACTATGCCGAGTTGCTAGTATTGCGTGAACTTCAACGTGCACATTTTTCCGAAGAAATTACAAGATTACAATCGAATAGAGCTTGTAGTCGCGCTTTTCAACGCCTTAAGCCATTTTTACAAGATGGGATCGTCAGGGTAGGTGGACGCTTGTCCAACTCGCAGTTGAGTTTCGACCAACGGCACCCTATAGTTTTACCGCATAAAGACCATATCATGAAGTTATTAGTTGATTACCATCATAAATTGAATTCTCGCGCTGGCCCGACTTGCTGATGTCAATCTTGCGTCAGAACTATTGGATTCTTATCGCACGTAACTTAATCCGCAATCGGGTGCACAGCTTTGCTTTCAGGTACGTCCCAAGCCGTCATTTCCGGAAATGGCGGACCTTGGGTCTTGTCGAGTAATACAATCCGTAAAGCCCTTTAAGCACACCGGGTCTGATTTTGCTGGTCCGTTTAAGGTCACGCTCACTCGCGGGCGTGGTATAAGATCAACGAAGGCTTACGTCTGCATTTTCGTATGTCTAACTACTCGGGCGGTGCATATAGAACTCGTTGGTGATCTAAGCACAGTAGGCTTTATGGGTGCATTTAAAAGATATCTTTCTCGCCGTGGCCCTGTAAGTAAATTGTATTCGGATAACGGTACGAACTACGTCGGTGCAAAACCTATTTTATCAGAACTACATGAGCTCTTAGCTAGCAAGTATTATAATTCGGAGTTCACTCACATTCTAGCCGAGAACCGCCGAGAACGTCCCAGCCGCGAGTCATTTTGGGGGCAATTGGGAGACTAATATTAAAAGTCTAGAGTCACTTATACCGAGTAATAGGAGATCAAATTTTGTCTTTCGAAGAGCTAAGTACTGTGCTCGCTCAAATTGAGTGCGTCATGAATAGTCGCCCACTTTGTCGTACGTTGTCAAGTGACCCCTCAGAGCCGCTGGCTCTAACTCCAGCACATTTTTTGAATTTTACGCCTTTGAAGTATTTACCCGCCGTAGATATGGACGAGAACAAACTTAGCATTTCCGAACGCCATAAATTATTAGACCGGTTGGTGCAGTCGTTTTGGAAACGATGGAGGATGGAATACTTGCATACTTTACAGTCTCGGCAAAAATGGAACACAGCAACTGAACCTTTAACTGTCGGAACTGTGGTTGTGCTCACCAAAGAGAATACGCCGCCTCTCCATTGGCCATTAGGGATTGTCGAAGAGGTTTTTCCCGGTTCCGACGGGGTAATTAGGGTAGCTCGCGTTAGGACCACGGCTGGGTCTTACATGCGTCCGGTTGTTCGTTTGTGCCCTTTGCCCCTTCAATAGTTTAAATTAGTTTTCTAGATTAGAAATTATAACCGACATTTAGGTTTAATCTTAGCGTTAGTTAGTTATTTTTGAAGGGGACCTTTCAAGCCGGGGGGGGGAGCACAAAACAACTGGTTGCGCGGAAAACCATTCGTATTTTTAATTTTATTCGAGGTTAGCTTGCCAAGCGTTGTCCTTTCTTCGACCTTTCCTTCACCTGTCGTCCCTCCGACACACCGGGGTGGTGGGGTGAGAGGGGAAAGAAGATGATTCTAGAATATCGCGTGATTTACAACCAATAAGAAGCGCGCCCCACCGAGACGCACTGATAGGAGGACCGAAGTAATATAAGCGTGTGCAGAGCCTGCGTGCGCTCTCTTCCATCGCACCATCGACCAGGACCGCATCTCTGGGGCCCCAGGAGATCCGCCAGAAGTCGCAACGCAGCAGCAAAACGTCCAAGCCGCATCGAAGTACAACACCCCGGTAAGTGTGATTCCTTATTTACGTTACCCTGCTTGAAATTTGTGTTTTATTAGTTCATCCGCCCCAAGTCATTCCTCCTAATGTGGTCAAGCAGGGGTTCCTTCATAACCCTTGGCAAGCAATAGGTTTTCTTGGAAGAGCGAGTGCATTGTTAGGGAACCACGTGCCAAATCCGCCATCTAATTTAAGCATCATCCGCGTATACAGTCCACATAGTGTAACATCTCGCGTAGTAGGGTCAAGGCTCGACCGGGGAATAGGCCCGCCGCTCAACCACAATCTATCTAGCAGTGGTATGCCTTCTGTGTGCTTTGTTAAACACATCCTTGACAGCACTGAATATGAAACTGAAGCGTGGAGACAGATCAAGATTGGTGTATTTTTATAAAACTGCTAAAAAACAACAATCTATATTTTTATCAATTTATATCTTGGGCTTGCCCTAGCTTGGAGCTCTAGCTTCGCCACTGGTCCTTCCCCGCTCGAGCCGACCCATTTTTGCCACAACCATAATCATATCATAACTGCAAACTTTTAAATTACATTTCGCCAGTTGGCGACGGCTTCATGTTTCTAATGTGTTTTCTGTGGGTGTGGAGTTGGTGTGAGGTAATGATGTTAGTATTGAGTAGAGGACTGACGTGCGCCCCGGCGGCGAGCTGGTCGCGGAGCCAGGCCAGCGCGGCGTCGGCCACGGCGGCTGGTGCCTCCTCACCGCGCTCGGCGCTGGTCTCGCGCAGCAGCTCCACGCGCAGCAGCGGCAGCGCCGCCAGCGCGCCGCTCTCGCACACCTCGTCGAACTGCAACGTACCACACCGCTGTCATCATCGTTTCTCTGTACTCTAACACTCGCTCATCACTCCGCGATACTTGTCTCTTATTTAAGAGTTCGCTTCCATTTTCAGAGACGTTAAGCCAAGAATGAATATTTCAAGACAGAGGTTGTTTATACTAATACTATCCACAAGTATCTGTCTATCCACCCGATTATAATATACATGGTTAATGAAAGACTACTGGCGATAGCACCATCTAGGGAGAACAGGAAGAACTAAACTATTACTTACTCAGAAAGTTTGTTAGCTAAACAATACAAGTCTTTAAGACAAGAACGGATAGACTTTTGTCAAGATCAGTCAGCTGCGCTTTACCATCTTCAGCTGCATCACCAATAACCATCGGAGAGTACAGTTAAAAGTTAAGTACAATAAAGTTAGAGTGGCAAATCTTTCTTTGAGTAGTTGGTGTTTCGAAGGAAGGTTGTTGACGTACTGTCGATTGTCAGTTTTCAATTAAAAAAGTAAATTTAAATACACGCGACGCGCGGCAAAAAGTAGGTTGCAGCGTTTACTAATTATAAAAATGTGTGGTCTAACCATACACCCATAGACATCTATCCTCGATTATGAATCAAAATGCAGATCCGTTATCACTCGTGAGGACTAAAATGGAATTCCTCGTTTCCAGTAAAAATGTCTCCGGTTCTCTATACTCACCACACGAAACACAGCAGCATTAAACTACTATTTTAAGCTGGTATTCTGTGCGAGCGTGGTCCTTCCCCGGTTGAACCGACCCATTCGTGCTACAACTATACTACTAATATAATTGCAGCATGGCTCTACCACGTACCATTTTGTGCAACTCGTTAGGTAGGAAGAGGTGGAGGCGCTGTGACAGTGTAGGGAGAGGTGAGTGCTCACGTGCTGTGCGATGTAGCTGTCGAGCGCGGCACGGTGGCGCTGATGCAGGTCGGGCAGCGCGCGCAGGGCGAGCGCGGTGTGCGGGGCCACTCGGCGCAGCAGGCGCTCGGCAAGGTGCGCGCGCGCCGCCTCCACGCGCAGGCGCGCCGCCGCGCCGTATAGCCGGCGCGCCGCGGCCGCGTCGCGCACACGCAGGCGGCCGGTGTAAGCGTACTCCACCAGCTCGCGCAGCGCCCAGCCCTCCACGTCGGGCAGACGCAGCACAGGCGCGGGCTGCGCGGGCGCGGCAGGCAGCTCGGCTAGCAGGCGTGGCGACGCGGCCGCCAGCACAGCGCGGTGCGCCGCCACCTCTTCGCCCGCGTCGCCCGCCAGCAGCACGTCGTAGTGCTGGCGCGCCTTGCGCAGCGCATTGAGCGCCGCCAGCGCGCGCGCCGGCCACGCCTCGTCCGTCAGCGACAGCTCCTCCTCAAGCGCGCACGCCTCCTCGCCCTCGCTGTCGTCCGACCGCGAGCCCCCGCCGCTCGATTCTGCAGCAGACATGAACCCGCACACTAGTACACCGATCAATTCCTCGTCCGAACAGTTATTATTTACTTAATTATTTTTGTACAAACGGCAGACTTAATGCCATATGACATTTTCTATCAGCCAGCTGGAATGTTAGTTGTTACAACATTCCTAACGCACTGATCGGTACGCCATTTACTATAACGTATCGTTATGTAATAGTAATCTGAGGATTATCAATAGTTAGTAGTAGTTAAGTAGATTATCAGCCGATAACGTGACCCGCCGCGACAGTCGGCTCTCATCGCACCATGTACGACATCGACGCGAGATTCCTACTGCGACTAATTAAATTAAAATGATATCGGTATGATAAGGTGTCACATTGCAGTGCACTACCTACGGAACGCAACGGCAGTTTATATTTTTATTTTGATTTGTTATCAGGAAGATATTGTTGAACACTAACACCTCCCTATTTCATTTCCTTCTGTCGCCTCGTACGACACCAACAGGAAGATATGAAGATGAAGTAGTAAATTTTATCACGCCACCACTACACGCCCTAATCATAATTATTATAATTATTAGAGCGTCCAATAGATGGCGCTATAATCAAGTTACTAACAATCTTTATATTAACATTAACACTGTAAAATATAAATCTATGAGAAGGACGTTTGTATCAAACAATCATAAACACTTACTGACAATGAACTATATCCGGTTTATATCAGGGTTTTGATTTTAAAGTTTAGCAAAACATGTACTTGCTTTTCTATCAGACATTTGATGTATATAAAAACACCTTACAATTTATTTGGTAATTTAATTATTTTTTGAGAAAGACAAAAACAATAGCAATAAATATAATTAACACTGACTTAATAATAGGTACTAATAATTATAACTTAGAACATAAATGAAAAACTCATGACGATCAAAGTGGCTCAGGACCATGCTTTGCGGCAGTCTGTGGAGAAGGATATTCAGAAGTGGACTTGTGAACAGCTGTAATGATGACGATGATGATTCGAAAACTTGCACGATTAAATTATAACAAATCGACTTTTTTTATAGGATAGGGTGATAAACGAGCACACAGCTCACCTGATGTAAGTGGTTACTGTGGCCCATAGACATCTACATCTATCCTCGAGTACAAATCAAAATGCAAATGCGCTGTCTCTGGTTCTCTATACTCACCATACGAAACAGAGCATCATTAAGCTACTATTTTACGCTGATATTCTGCGAGAGTGTGGTCCTTCCTCGGTCGAGCCGACCCAGTCGTGCTACAACTATACTTCTAATATAACTGCATGGTTCTACCACGTATAAATGACGTGCTTCATTTTTTTTTTCAATTTAAAATTGTTCTCGTAATAATCTGATTGTAAATATATGTTCGTAATTTTGACACTAAAAGGCTGGTAATTGGGGCATCCACTCTACAAAGCTTGAATATAAAATTTAAATCAGATGCCTGTAATCACTCTGGCGAGCTTCTAGCAAACTAAACGCGCGGCGAACGTGTGGACGCGGCGACCAAACTCTGCTAACAATCCTTTGATATTTTGTGAAAAACCGACACCACACGGATCTCGCGCCAACTTGCGGGCCATCGTTCTAATACATACCAATGAAGCCCAAACACCCCGTCTACACGTTGGCCAATGCTATTGGCCACTACATTCGCCACTGTGTTGGCCAACGTGTAGAGGCGCCGTTAAATGACGCTATAATAAGCCGGGGCGGGTAAGTATGATAATAAATATAAAATTAATTGGTTTAAATATCTATTACATAATTATCTAAGCCACTTCGATCACGTGCAAGGTGCAAGTGACGTGCGCATTCATATACAAATACAGCATACAACGTGCCACGTCTTAGATCTCATACCGACCGCGGAAACTCATTCTTCGTAAACTAATATCAACGCAAACATACGTCATTTATTCACTCAGATACCTAATTACAAAATAAACCGTCTTACATAATATATGATACTAGTGATTCAGCGTCACCTACCGGGTCCAAATGTGAATATAAACCATCTAGGAACCCATTCAAACATATACAAAAAAATTCATCAAAATCGGTTAGATGGTTTTAAAATCCATAACGGACGTAGGTAGAAACAATTTTTGTGTTTTATATTATAATAATAATAATGTCCTTCCGACCGCATCGGCGCAGGACAGGATTATAGTGACCAAGTGTATGCGCAAGTACAGGTGCACTCTTTCTTCCCTCACTCTCATAATCCGATGGGACGGTAAACTGACACGACCGGAGAGAAATCAGGCGCAGGACCAACGGTTTTACGTGCTTTTCGAGGCACGGGGGTGAGACACCGCCAACTTCTTGACTCCGAGCAACTACTGAGAATTTTGAGATTTGGAAAAACTCAATAATTAATTTTTTGGCCCGACCCGGGCTTCGCACCCAGGACCTCATGATCAGCAGTCGCACTACTGCAACCACTAGACCAACGAGGCAGTCACTGTGTTTTATATACATAGATTACCGATAGCCGTGGTAGCTCAGATAGTTAACGTTCGCTGTAAATTTCACAGTCCTCGAGCAACCAGAGTTCGATCCCCGCCTCACCAATGAAATTGTTAGTTTTTAAGTGCTGATTTACCACGTGCTCGACGGTGAAGGTAAACTTCGTGAGGAAACCGGCATGTCTGAGAAATAAGAAAAAAAATATTTTCGAAGATATGTGAAGTTCTCCAACACGGATCGGGACAGCGCGGCGAACAATTCCTTGCCCTAAAACCCTCTTAGAAATGAGCGGAGGCCTGTGCCCAGCCGTGGGACGTATATAGGCTGTAACTTTATATAGATAGATTAAATTACATAAAAACACGACTGCGTTTGACGGCTATGTGGCGCAGTGTCTGTCTTAGGCAAGAGGTGCGGTGCTGAGGGCCGCAGCGCAGGTTCGAATCCCGCACGGAACTAGTATTTGTATAAACTAAAATAAATGTTACTGGCCTAGATGTTTGTCCTTGTGACATCTATGTTTGTAAACTACCTCCACTATACAGGAGAAAACCCTAGCGTGGGAGAAACGTTTTTTATGAATACAGAATGCATGCGTCAGCACATATATTTGCCAATAATGTACAAACCAGCTGGTGTACTGAAATTTTTGTTCAGTTTTGAATTATTATTTTTTATAGGAAAGTGTGACACGCGTGTACACAGTCCACCTGATGGTAAGTGGTAGCTGTGGCCCATAGACATCATCTACATCTATCCTCGATTATTAATCAAAATGCAGATGCGTTGTCACCCGTGAGGACTAAGATGGAATCCCTCGTTTCCAGTAAAAAGGGTCTCCAGTTCTGTACACTCACCACACGAAACACAGCAGCATTAAGCGACTATTTTACGCTGGTATTCTGTGAGAGCGTGGTCCTTTCACGGTCGAGCCGACCCATTCGTGCTAAAACTATACTACTAATATAACTGCAGCATGGCTCTACCACGTATAATAGAATTAGTTTCTGGCATTGGTTGGACAATCAATGTGTGCTTTGAGTGCAGGTGAGACATTTGGAAAAAGGAAAACAAAAGTTTGCCTATTCAATATACCATGATTTTACTGCCTCGTCGGTCAAGTGGTTGTAAACGCATCTGCTGATCATGTGATCCCGTGTTCTAATCCCGCATCGTGACAAAAAAATCAGTTATTGAGTTTTCCATCAAGAAATTCTCAGTAGCTGTCCAGACCCGGAGTCAGGAAGCTGGCGGTGTTTAACCCCCGTGGCTGGATAAGCAAGTAAAGCCATTGGTACTGTGACTTATCTTTCTCCGGTCGTGTCAGTGTACCATCCCATTGGACTATAAGGACAGGGAGGGAATAGAGAGTGCACACGGCTTGCGCATACGGGCACTATAATCCTGTGCTGTGCAGATGGCTAGTCTCCGTTGAGGCTGGCCGCCGTGACCGAAATTTTGTCTGGAGGATATTATTATTATTGTTATATCAGAATTTGCTAAAGATAATCTAAACTTCTAAAAGAAACGCTATGTAATTTTAGATTAAGTAAAAAGACGGTGTTAACACAGCTCCAAGTTGTATCATGCACGGTGACTTAGCAGATTGATGTTTCAAGGCAACAGAATGTTCCACGGTCTATAATAAGACTATAATCATAGCATTACGTGTGGAACTAAATGAGATTGTGTCGATGTAACAGCTTCATAGCGGTCGGGGCGGGGCTTCCCGCGCACGTGCCTCGCGGACCTGTAGCACTTCTTTGAACGATTGCTAGCGTGAATTGAGTAACTTCGTAGAAGATACTCGATTGGAATCTGTTTCCGAAGTCAAATGCAAAACAAAAACTTGCTAGCGGTGTCTTGTTTATACTCGTAACTGTCTCGGAATCGATGAAGAATATTTTCAACATAAGAAAACACTACTGTTTAAAACTACGTAACGTACTTTGTAACAACTATTGTTATAGCGCATTGGGAACAATATCATTCGCGATTTCTAACGATAGGTGTAGTCTTTGAACATATGAATTACATACTAGTTTAATAAATAATACTATATTAACGGGACGAAAGACATTATTGGCTGACATCAAATGAGACATATACCAAGCGGTAATCTTGATTCAAGTTATTATCATTACGTAAGACAATTAAAGAACTTGCAATTCTTTGTCAAGTTTATATTTTGTACGCTCATTCATTATTATAATTTATGAAGTACGAAATTTACTTGAACATTTATCAATTTATCATTAAACCACTTCCAAGATTAAACAATGCCACGTTCTTGTATACTTTAGCGGTAGAGAACGCGCTTTCTGTTTATGAATCTAAATATAGTACCTGTTATAAATCTACGAAATATTTTTAATCAATTCAGCAGACCTTAGTTTTTCTATGCGAATATTGCGTAAGAAATCCTTGACGTCCAATTGTAGAGAAACCGTGTTGCTTCGTTTTAATTTGTGGTCATTGGCGCAGGCGCGACGGTTTCAACGACGCA